ATCTAGGCAATATTCCTGCTTTACTAGCTTTACCTGACTGCTTTATTAGTGCGCATACACATAATGCCCTTACAATACGTTGGTTCAAGAAGGTATAAACATATGTACCTTGCTGCAACAAGAGCTTTGCTTTATCCAAACATCAAAAAAACTATAGTCTAGTGAAATATAGTGGTAATATGGCAGTTCCTAACGTCTTTTGTCATGGGTAAATTTTGTCATGTGACTGAAGTTGCGAAACATGTTTCTATCAATGGGAAGGTGAACATGATTAAGTTCTTTGGCAGATAATTTAAATTTAATGAGGCTGTATAGCATTACTAGAAATTGTATGCATAAGCTAGCAACTTACTTAGAGGGATAAGAAGTGAGGAATTCCACTGTACAGAAAGAATAAATAAAAGATTATTGTAATATTCTGTTGATAGATGAGAATGATGATTTATTCTGAACTTTGGTGTCGGATCATCTCTTAGATCTGTATTGTTTCTGACACAGTTCTTTGCACTCTGTTTTCACAGTGTATGAGGAGTTCTTAAAAAAGTACTAATTTTTTTTTCCTACTTTCTAAGAGGTCTAGACTGAGAGAGCAATGTTGGTTTAGTTTGGTTTTGATTCCACAACTGCTATTAAAAAAAAAAAGTTAACATTCATATTAAATTAAAAGATTATTAAAAAAAAAAAAAAAGACCTCTTCAGTAAAGCAAATGTGTGAAATGACCTACCAAAGTCTAGGGGAGGCTTTCACAAAGTCTTGCACAAGTTCTTAAAGACTTTGAAAGTTGACCAAGAATATGGTTAACGCTTTTGTTGTGTAGTAATCTAGGAAGTAAAAAAAGAGCATCCCAAAGTGCCTTTGGTTGTGCTAGAAGGCAACTGACCACAGTTAGATGCACAAATATGCAAGGAAAATAGTTGTTACGCACAGAAGTTGTGATTTAGCAATACTTGGGCACAGGAATCTTCATCTAAGGAGTGAAAAGGAAAATAATTTTCATGGGAAGCTCATTCTATGTGTGGCAGGTAATCCAAAGGTTCTTGATAGAAAATGCTAATATAGCCTCTGATTTTAGCTTATTCAACTAATGAGAAGTTAGAGGTGACCTTTCCTATGTAATAGGATAGCAGTGAAGGTCTATGAAATTGAAGATGAACTGCCTAAGCTGTTTGATGCAGAAGGAGAGGGAGCCAATGAAAAGATGAGGGGAAATGGTAGCCTGGTTACTGTTTGTAAGGATTCTGAGTATCTGTAGAGCAAAACTGTATTTGTTACAATTAGAGTGGTGTTGCAAAAACATCAAAGGGCAGGATGGAAAGAGAGTAGGTGAGATTTTTTGGCAGGGTGGAGAAGGAAGACTTTTCCATGTGTGCTTGTATTACACAGGTAGTGTGCCTTTATTGCATACAGTTTAGTGGTGGATTAACTTAGTCTCTCTGACTTTACACTGAAATTGTGTAGGAGTGTTCTCTCTCAGAATAAGGAGGAGTTAAATTTGTACTGCCTTATGAACTCTAAGCAGTTTACTACTGCCTCTCAGCCCTGAAAATCTGCTGTTTCATTATTTCCAAAGTATCATCTCAGCAGTTTTGTCCATTGCCTGCCAGACTACTTGGTGCCAGAGAGACCTCACTCTCCTCTGGCATGTGTGTAGAGGAGGGCTACCCTCAGTCCTTAAAGTTAGAGCTAATGTTGGAAAAGAGAAGAGAAAAGATTAAAGAGTTCGGCTATGTAACTTGTTAGCAGGATCTTAGTTGTCCTGTAGTCCCAGGCTAGCGAGTAATGGAGCACAGAACATCCACATGTAGGGGTAAGGAACCTGGAAGACTTCCAGTCAGAATGTAAGATTATGGAAAGAGGTTCGAGCTACAGGTGATGCATAAGTTAAAGACCTGAGTGACTGAATTGAAATTTCTCGTTTGGGTGGAAGGAGATGATTCTAGATGAAGTGGTTTCATCTGTGAAGGTAGTAATTTCATTTGAAGGTTAAGATATGAAAGGAAAAGAAAGAAAACCACTGACAAAGCCCTGAGGAATTTGCATAGAAAACGGAGCAGAGAATGAGGAGAATCTCACTTAGAAGAAATGCTGAAGGAGTGATTTGATAAGAAGCAGATATCATGGAAGCTGATGAAAGATAAGATTTCATGAAGAAGTAGACTGTGTTTTACAGTGAAAGGTGTCAAGGAGGTTGTAGATACAATAATGGTTCTTCTAGAAGTTACTAAAAATTTTGGCAAGAACATTTTTCATTGTTAAAGACAATTTTTTTAAAAGGACAAAACGAACAGAGGGGAACTTCAGGGAGCAGTTGTAAATAGTTCATTATTTGAGCTTGGCAACTAAAAGACAAGAAGTACAAGGACAGTCCTAGAGATGCATGAGGCACAGATGTTCTAGTATCAATTTATTTTTCTATACCATACAATATATGAACCTGTAATAAAAAAAATTACATAGGCTAATAGATTTGCTCTATTTAGTTTCAGGGCTGATTTTTTTGGCTAGTAATATAATCTGTGCTCAAATGGAAGAACAGGCATAAGATTACATAAATTAGTTATTCCACATGTACCTAATAAAAAGATTTGAACATACATGCAGACAGTTGCATCTATAGTTCCCTATAGACATAGGGAATTCTGGTAAATTATAATTTAAATAATTTTGAACTTTCCCTTATAGCAGAGAGAAACTAGTTGCTTTAAAAAATATGTATCAGATATATGTATGTACAGCAGGTTTTGTTCATTACGTCATTGTTTCTAAATTATGGTAAAAGGAAAGCAACTGTTGATAAGAATTTAAAAGTTCAGCCGGAAAAATACATTTAAAATAACCTTAAATACCTTGACTGGCTTGCAACTGTTAAAAGCAATTCTTAAGTAGTTAAGATGGGAAATGAATGTATTTCTATTGTAAGGTATTCTCAAAATTGCCTAGCAAAATAATAGCATTAAGATCTGCCAAGAATTGATGTTAAATATCCATTGTTTCTTGGTTATGTTTTGCATATTTATTTGTTGTGGTATGTACCTGTTGTTCTAACATTGTTTCAATGCTCTGTATGTAAAGTTTATGTGCAATAACATTAAACCTGAAGGAGGGCGTTTGTTTGCCAAGAGATAATTTGGCAAATGTGTTTTTGCAGGTACCTTTTGATATATAATCCTACAGAACAAGAAAGATTTTCAGTGGTTTCGGTCAATGTGAATTCACCCAGTGTTAAATTATTGTCTCCTTCGGGAAAACCTGTTACTGTCCAGATTAGTGCTGTTTGGGATGGAGCAACTACAGTATCACATGAAGCATATCAGGTATGCTACTTTAAGTAAAAAGCATTAAATTTGGGTTTTTTGGCAGATACTGTAGCTTCACAGTTGAAGAAAATGGAAAGCATATTTCAAATGTTGGCAGTTCTGTCTTCTGCAGATAATGCCATTAATTCAGTCCTTTTAAGGAAAAAAAGAAACATATATTTAGCATTAATGTTTCTTAAACTGCTAAGTTTTTAAGCTTCTGTGATGTGGTGTATTGCATTTAAAGGGTCAGTTTCAGCTGCATGAACAGAAAATACTGGATGTGTGTCTTTTCCCCTCAACTTTCTAAAGCTGCTTTTTACTTCAGGTTACAGTCCATACACTCAGTCACACAGTCTGTATGAGCTCAAGCACTCCAGCTGGAACGTTTTTTCAGTGCAATGGCTTAAGCAGTTAGATTCCAATTTTTTGTGTGTGTGTGTGTCTTCCAGATACAGAGGCTTCATAGTAATCTCCATTACTCTTGTACTCAAGCTAGACAGATGACTTTGTGTCTACCTCTGGTTTTTGGTTTGGAACAAATTTTCTGAGAATTTTTTAATGATACATCATTATAGAAGACTGTCATATGTGACCACACTTCAGAAACCATATTTTCTTAAATTCTTAGTGATACAATAGTACTATGTAAGATCTGGTTGTTTTTTCTTTTTTACTTTCAGGCTTACATTCTTAGTCTGATTCCTTTTGACTTGGGAGCCAAGTTGAACTTGTTTCAGGATAACATTTCTGTGAAAATAATTCAATAAGTGTCTGTGTCTCTCAGTTGGCCTCCAAAGGGATAATTATTGATAATTGTTGTGCATTAACCCAAGTAAGCAGCTCAGCCCCATGCAGCCGCTCACTCACTGGCCCCAGTGGGATGGGGAAGGGAATTGGAAGGGTAACAGTGAGAAAACTCAAGGACTGAGATAAACATAGTTTAATAAACAAAGCCAAAGCTGCACACACAAGCAAAGTAAAACAAGGAATTCATTCACTGCTTCCCATCAGCAGGCAGATGTTCAGCCATCCCCAGGAAAGCAGGGCTCCATCACGTGTAATGATTACTTGGGAAGACAAACACCATCACTAAACGTCCCCCCCTTCCTTCTTCCAGTTTTTATTGCTGAGCAAGACGTCATGTGGTGTAGAATATCCCTTTGGTCAGTTGAGGTCAGCTGTCCCAGCTGTGTCCCCTCCCAGCTTCTTGTGCACCCCCAGCCTGCTCCCTGGCGGAGCAGGGTGAGAAGCAGAAAAGGCCCTGATGCTGCATAAGCAGTGTTCTGCGATAGCTAGAACATCCCTTTGTTATCAGTATTGTTGCTATCAAAGCATAGAACCATGTGAGCTACTATGAAGAAATTTAACACTATCCCAGCCAAAACCAGTATAATAAGTAGCACCATTAATTGCCTGAAGAACAGCAAGTAAAACTACATATCTGTACCTCAAATTCTAAGCAAATTACTTTGGACATCTACCTTGTATATAGCTCTTCTGTGCAGATCACTTTATAGCTCCTAAATAACTAGAGACTGAAAATAAGACAGTTGCCTTATGTTTTCTATTTAAATTTGTGGGTTTTTAAATGCAACTCAAGTGATAAGTAGGATCTGTGTGTATTTGATACAGCAAATATGCTCAGAACTGCACATCACATCGCAGCTAAGATTCTTTTTTAACAAGATTCAAAATCATTATTGCATTTATATAACAGTGATCTTGATGCTAAGCAAATTAGTGATGCAGGCATTTTTGTTTGCTTGTTCTTAACATGCTTTGGCTATTCATTTTGGAATGTAATTTGTAATTTCATATTCATTTATGGAATACGGAAAAAATCCATCCATCCTAAAATTATTGAAGCAAAAGGAGTTACTCTGAGCATAAATTTAGTACGAAAAAGTTGATAGTCTGCTGGTTTTAATAATCGCTTTTTCTTTGCTCCCAACAGATCTCTTTTGTGGCGCATATACCACCTCTGGGGCTTGGAGTGTACCAGCTTTTGGAGGTTCAGAGTTCAGAAGCAGTTTTGGCAGACTATAATATATACATGAGGAATAGTAGGCAGGAGAAGCCAGACAAACTTTTCAAGATCAAAGAGATGCAGAATTCTGTGGATAATATAATCTTAGAAAATTCTTACATGAAACTGTGGTTTTCTGGGATGTCTGGATTACTGGAGGTGTGTTGCATTATATTTCAAAACACTGTGTGTTACTTTTTTAAGAACTTCTGTTCTTACTCATGGAAACCTAAATGTGTCAACTGTTTTGAACGTGATTCTCTGTCCTCAGAAAATAAATAACAAAGAAGATGGTAAAAATCATCAAATGAAGGTGGAGTTTGCTTGGTATGGAACTACAAGTAACCGGGATAAAAGTGGAGCTTATCTCTTCTTACCAGATGGAGACGCCAAGGTAAATCTTCTGTTTGCAGCATGATTCTAATCTTGAAGTAACTTGAAGCATTCTGCAAATACAGATTGGAAGAGGTAGTTTTCCCCAACACTGAAATACATCTGTGTGGCTAGAAATAATTACATCAGTTAGTGAAATGATTGGCAGAACTTCATAATTCATGACCCTATATTTGAGTAGAACACTGCATTAATTTGAAAGTGTAAAAATATACAGAATATTTATGATTCACCAAAAAACTTAAATAAGATGCTACCCGTGCAAGAAATCCAGTGAGATGTGACCATTCACTCAATAAAATAAATTCACTTTCACTTCCTATGGTGAAAATGTATAGGACATACTGATTCATTTCTGCATTTCTTCACTTTTCTGATTCTTAAGATTTCTGTATTGTGAATGAGATTCCAGTTCAGAGTGTAGTACTTTTTCAGCTGATATTGTCGTATGTAGTTTAATATAGTAATTAAGATACTGATTCCCAACTGACGAATGTAAACATTGAGCAGCAAGCAACTGTTCTGATTTAGTTGTCTAGGGTTATCAGTGTTTTTAGCTGCATAATTATTAGAGGACAACATACTCTATTAGTTTTCAACTTGGAAATTCAGAAATAACAGTGTACTTACACTGACTTAATTACCATGTAGAAGCTACTTTACTATGTTTGAAGCTGGAAAGGTGATATTTCAGAAAGCAAATTATGAGATAATGAACACTTTTAAGAAGCTAGCCAGTTTGCATCATATTTCTTCTGCCCAGCTTCTTTTGGGGAAACTTAAGTTGCATGCATAAAGCAAACTGGGAGTTCTGTCTTTACCACTCAGGAAATAAGCAAGGGTAATCATTCTATTTTTTGTTGTTGTTAGATGTATAAATCAGTCTGAAAGTGGGCAAAACGGTTTCCCCTTCCTTTTAGCAGTCTCTCTTAGAAGCACACATTTTGAGGTCTGTCCATTGGCAGTTTTAAACCATTCAGTATATATAGTCCCATAATGTTTGCCTCAGTTGTGTTCAACAGGGCTCACTTATTCTTAATTTTTAAATGTTAGTGGTTTTGATCTGTGAATACCTGAACAATATTAACTTACTTTTTTTTTCTTTTTTACCTCTCCTCAGCTGCATGGTCACACTTTTAACTAATTTTATTTTACGTGCTGTTTTGGCTTTTGCTTATACAAAGAATAATCACTAAATCTATCACTTATAAAACTTTAACTACAGTTTTGAATTATTTTCATTAAAAAGATAATCTGGACAAATCTACATAGGTAAATGCTATGGTTTAAACAGAAAAAGTCTGTCAGATGCCTGCAAGCAGAGTTAGAAAATAAGGTACATACTAGACATGTGTGAAAAATGAAATTAACATACAATTTTAGGCAACATTAAAAAGGGTGGTGTGTTCAGCTTTTGTAACTTTTTATACAACAAAAATGAAATCATGATACTTCTAAAAATTCTGATTAATATACCATAAGGCTCACTTTTCTTGCATTTTAATAACATTAAAAGTCCTTGTGTGGAATGGCAATTACAGGTATTTTTCTTGATTTTTGGCCAGACGGGTTTTTTCCTATCCCTCTCACTCTATTACTGCAAAATTTGCAAAGAATAATTGCTTTTGGTGTTGGGTCATTTTCCTCTGGTATGAGTACAGTTACATGTTTTCTTTGACTTTGTTAACTGGTTGTTTTGTCAGCTGGTAAGTCTTTTGGTTCCTTTCTTTTCAGTTCTTCAATACTCGGAAGCTGTTTTTCTTCACCTAGTTTAATCATCTGTCTTACTGTAGTACTTACATAACCTTTTCTTCTGCCAGTTTAATTTTGGAAGCTTGGTGCTGTAACATCCTAGGCTTGTAGGCCATGACTTTAAGCTATGTCAGTTTAGAATGCTTGACACATACAGAGCAGCTCTGGTCATCAGTAGACTGTCATGAGTGGGTGTCAGGTTTTCTGCAGATGATGGTCGGTGTACACGGATCTGAATCTTTCAAGAGGTTCATTGGGTTAATCGTATTTATGGCTGACCTAAAACCAGCCTAGAGTACTGCAAAGAGTGCATTCTCCCTAAGAAGTGGTAAGCCTCTAGTACCAGCACTAAGTTTGACATCAGCAGAGACCTGGGTTAATGGCAGAGATTTACACAGTATTAAACAGAAAAGGCACACTGAACACTGATAACTCTTTGTCACTGCTCTGGAAAGAATAGCTGGACATAAGGCTCTACAACACCATGGCAAATATTGCCATGGTGCAGCTAGACGGTCCCCAGTAAAAACAGTCTCTCGGATTGTGGCATAGGGTTTTGACTATGGGTGATTCTGTCCCTGCTGTGTTGGAAGCGTGCAAGTAGTTCAGTGGCAGCCTCAGGTCAGGACACCAGTGCGAAGTTCAGGACAATGACACAGCAGAGACTCCATGCTGCAGCTCTAGAGATAAGGCGGTCCTCGTATCATGTTTTTGTATTTTCTGTGAAATAGTACACAAGCAATGTACCAAGGAAAAAAAACAGGCAGTATCTTAATTTTTTAATATGTCAGTGCTACTTTACTGATTGACAATGTTATCAAGATTTGGAAGAAAGGGACTTCCTTGAACCTCAAACAAATGTAAACAAAACCGTCCTGCCTATGAAGGGAAAACATATTTGTATCTCATGTGATTTTTGAAGGATGGCCAACTCTGTAGATCTGTTAGATCTGGGGGAGAAAAAAATCAGTACTCAATAGCCTTTGAAACAGATAAATGTCTATATTTTCTTCTGTGTGTTCAAGACAAGTCAATATGTGATGACCTACTTACTAGCCATGTTTGGTATCAATAGGGAATACAACAAAGCAGTCTTTTCCAAAGAGTCAGATGCTAAGTGTTTGTGGGATCAATGTGAGTGGTTCATTTTCTTGTTTTACAAATCAATTTTTCAGAATCAAAGTAGACTTTTTTGATAGACCCAGACTGGGAACTAGTGATTCCCCCTCAGGCGGCTGTGTCTGTGCACATATGTATGTACTAGCTGCTGTAGGTACTTATGTACTGACAGAATATGTAAGAAAATGGACATATTTTTTTAATCCTGTAGGATCTCTAGTGCTAGAGCTTTACTCCTTTTTTTTTTTTTTTTGTCTTCACACTTTGTCTCCATGGTTGTACTTCCTTTGCTGATGATGATCTCTGACCTGTATAGCTGCAGCTGTTGCTACTAGCTTCAAGAAACTTTTTTCATGACAAGTCCTTTTTTTAATGTCAGGATTACCTGCTGCTTCTACTTCTCAGAGAAGAACACGTATCTGAGTTATGTAAATGCTTGGCCTTCAAATCTAAGGAAAAGATAATGGAATCTTTCTGTATGTTTAAAGTGAGATCGGGATGCTCTACTGCCCAAAAGGAGAGCGACTGTCTATTTAGTGTATCCCACTGTATTAATCTTCAGATCTTCCCTCTCAAAAAGGAAAAGGATCCTCATTCAAGCATAGTGTCATTTTTAATCCTTCCCCGGTTTTTGCATGCTTGGTGACAGGAAAAAGACAAGTATGCAGGCACCATTACCTGGAGGGTGCTCATTATACTCAAGAATTGACTGCCTTTGAAGTATCTGTTCTTCCCTTGGTGCTATGTCTTTTCTTCACGCATCATATCTGTCATCTAGAAATCTGTCCCACTTACTGATGGGGTTGGTTTTGGAGACAAAAGCATTAAAATGGCAACCATCTTTCTTCTGCCATGTAATTCTTGAAACACAGTTCTCAGGAGCTCATAGTATTTGATTTCCCTACCACCAAAGCCCAGTCTAGTCTCAAGCTCTGTCAAATTAAGGGTAGTCTGCTATGAGAAGCAACTTCTCCTGAAGGCTTTCTCTTTAGTTCTTTTTTTAAATCTCAGGCATATCAAGAACAATTCAGTCTGTGCTGGAAAACCTTCCTCTGGGCATAGTTTATTTGACTTCCAAAACAAAAAAAAAAATTTCTAGGTCACACTAAGATGGTTAGTAGTGCTTCACTTGACTAGAAGGGGAAAGGCTTATTGCCCATGCTTCATGCCTTAAGGCTGCAATATGCCATGCCAGCTTCTATGCAAATGAAGGCATCTCTCCCTTGGCACTTTGGCACCCAGTTTGATGCCAAGTATTTTAAGACATCCTAGGGAGCTGTGGGATATTACATTGCTCCAAGATTTCTCCCTTAAAATTCCTAGCTCTCTTTTCCCTGCCCCACCCCCCTTTCCTTCAGGGGGAGGTTGTCATACTTCTTTTTAATATGAATACTGAAAAATGGTTTCTGGACCCTTTGACCCATAGTACTGTTACCCTGTTTCTGAAAATACTGCTTTCCAGGCTCAACAAAACCTGCCACAGCAGGCTGCTGAATCTTGTACAATGGAACTCATTCCAGTGGAGCTGAGTGGAACAGATTTTACAGTAACTATTCATAGAATCATAGGATAGAATCATAGAATAGTCTAGGTTGGAAAAGACCTTTAAGATCTTCAAGTCCAACCATTAACCTAACCCTGCCATCCCACCACTAAACCATGTCCCTAAGTACCTCATCTACCCTTCTTTTAAATACCTCCAGGGATGGGGACTCGACCACCTCCCTGGGCAGTCTATTTCAGAGCCTGACAACCCTTTCTGTGAAGAAGTTTTTCCTAATGTTTAACCTAAACCTGCCCTGGTGCAACTTCAGACCATTGCCCCTCATCCTATCGTCTGTTACCAGGGAGAAGAGGCTGACCCCCACCTCACTACAACCTCCTTTCAGGTAGTCGTAGAGGGCGGTAAG